GAAGCATCCCTACCACCAACGGAAATAATACATGTGATGATGGCATCTGAGGCCAATGCATCTGGCTTGGCTGGAAGAGCATAGAACCTGGCTAGAGCACCGGCTGGATGGCCCCCACCTGACTGAGTAGTAGCTAGCTGACCCCTCCCTATCTGGCCTCCACCTCTAGGACGGCCTCTACCCGTCTGCCATCCACCTCTAGGTGGCTGGGCAGCTGGTGCTGAAATCATGGGCTGCTGACCCTGCTGCACTGCCTTGCCCCGAAATCTGGGGCAGTATCTCCTCATGTGATGGGGATCTCCGCACTCAAAACAACAGCGCAGGGCGGCGACCTGCTGCCCTGATGGCTGACCCTGATAACCCGTAGAACCGCTGGAAGAAGCCTGGATAGCCGGTGGGCGACATGAACTCTCCGGCATGGCACTGAAATAAGAATAAGAAGGACCCTAGGGACCTGAATACCCATTGGAGGGACCCTGAATAGCTGGCGGGTGGTAGGAAGTCTCTGGCATAGCACTGAGATAGGGGCGTGCTGGAGCCCCCCGGGCAGGAGGTGGTGCTGAAACTGGTGGCCTACTAGGCTGGCCTCTCCCATACTGACCTCTGCCCCTAGCTGGGGCACCTCTGAACCCGCCGGAGAACCTAGCTCTCTTATCCTGCTGTATCTGCTCTCTACCCCTCTGGCGATATCCCTCAATCCGACGAGCAATCTCGACCACTAGCTGATACTCTGTGCCCATCTCCACCTCTCGAGCCATACTAAATTGAATACCGGGCTGCAATCCAGCGACAAACCTCCGCACTCTCTCCGCATTTATAGGAAGTATCATGAGTGCATGGCGGGACAACTCGGAAAACCTCGCCTCATAGTCAGTCACAGACATCTGACCCTGCTCGAGCTGCTCAAACTGGTACCGCAGCTCCTCCCTCTCAGAGGGCGGGATATACCTATCCAAGAACAACTGTACAAACTGATCCCAAGTGATGGGAGGGGAACCCGCTGGCCTGCCAAAAACGTAGGACTACCACCATCTACGGGCCCTGCCCTCGAGCTGAAAAGTAGTGAAGTCAACTCCATGCGACTCCAATATCCTCATGTTGTGTAGTATGTCCCTGCACCTGTCTATGAAGTCCTGAGCATCCTCATGACGCTCACGCCCGAAGACTGGAGGATGAAGCCTGGTCCATCTGTCCAATAGCTTCTGTGGATCACCATCCACAGCTGGTCTGGGCTGGGGTGCCAGTGTAGCAACTTGCTGAGCCCCATCTGCGGGTAGTGCACCCGGAGTCTGATATACTGTAGCTGCATGACCTGGAGCCTGAGCAGTAGGGGTGTGGGCTCCCCCTCCTGCCTGTGAAGTGGCTGGGTCTGCTGGAAATAAACTAGCTTGAGTCATAGTGTCCATGAACCATAGCATGCGGCCCATGACCTCCTGAAATCCCGGTGTTGTCATGAAATCTGCCGGGGTAGGCTCAGCCGCGGGCACCTCACCCTGCTCCTCAACAATAGGATCCTCCGCAGGATCTGCTGGTGGTGCAACTGGAACGGCTCTGGGCCGCCCTCGTCCCCTACCACGGGCCAGCACCCTCCCCCGGCCTCTACCTCGGCCTCTAGCAACGGGGGGAGCAGCTCCTCCCGGGTCCGGAACGTCAGCGGTGCGAGTTCTCACCATCTGTGAGAGAATAGAAGAGGGAAATTTA